GGTGGTCCCAGGCCCCCCCCCCCCCGAGAAATTTCCTAGCTACGCCCCTGAAACTGTATCGTCTTGCTGTTGCTTAGTCGCCATCGGCTATAAAAGGCCATAAGAAATTGTATAGCCGGCTACAGAAGCTATTGGAAATCTTACAGCCGGCTTTAGGTTAGTGGTATTTTGGAACACACTGCCAATTTTTACCAGGGATAGCACAATTCACAGTGTCGATTTCACAGTCGTTCCTCAAACAGCTCTTTCCTTTAGAAGGTCCTATTGTTAAAGTGTGATCATGAGAGGCTCAAAGACAGTATCGATTTTGCTCGTAAATTCTTAGGGGTGCTGATACGTTTCCGGGTTCCCTCTTCTCGAAAGGGGTTCCCCATAATAACTAACGAAAAGTCCTCCTTTGTAACGGATTTTCAAGTTTTAGGGTCCTGCCGGGGCCTTGATCTACCCGTCAGAACTTCTGCGGTGCTGAATAGTACCCCTGGCCAGACCGCCCTCGCTCAAGGAGACCGTTACCATATCGCAATATAGTATCACGGAAAGGAAAATTTTCGCAAATATTGAGTTAAAGTCAACAGTATAACTTTGGGAATGGGCCTTTCGAAGGGAATGTAATGATTTATTTACCACTACGAAAAATACGAAACACAAAAAAAAGACACGCGAGTTTCGTAAACTTTATGGTAAGTTTGCATCTACCTTAGAGTTTATAAAAATCATAGAATTTTTACTTCCGTATTTGAAAATTTTTGCAGTGAGGAATCATTGTAATCCCTTGCGAGGGCCCACTTCCAAAATTACGAGTATACTGTTGAGTTTTACTCTCGGCTCGCTACAAAATGAATTGTGTCAAGAAATTACAATTCATAGACGGAGCCAGGGGGAGGAGGCGTGCGTTCCCCATCCCGTTCGCCCGTAAAAAGGGGGGGGGGGAATTCGAAGGAAGAAAGAGGGAAGGAACGGAGAAAAGAAGAAGGAAGAATGCTTACATATGGTAATTATTCAAGACAAAATTTACGCAAACTGCATATTAGTGCTTCAAAAACTCAAAAATTTTCTGGGGGAGGCCCCGAACCCCTTTTCCGCCCCCTCTCCCTCTTCCAGGTGTCTGGATCCGCCAATGTTACAATTTCCAATAAATATTAGAGCAAGGAGAGAGACGTGCTTGACAGAGTGATAAAAGATAACACGCAAGACGTTTAGGTCAATTAAGTCAAGCTTGAATTATTTGTAAAAATTCACGAATCATAGCATGGGCGCGAAGAAAATTTAAGAAGCGAAAATAATATGGAAACATTTACGTAATTATAATGAATAATAACAATGGTAAATTTTACTGCTCTTAGGCGAAATCGCATCGGCGTTGATTTATGTCATGATGCAGTTGAGAACGAATTGTTGGTGGAATGTAAAATGATAGAAGGAGTGATTTTACTCTTGAAAGAACTATTCAGCCAGCTGACGGAACAAGGGCGGAAGCTTAGATCTTGCACGTACTTCATCAGTCGAGATTTGGAAAATAAAATGAGTGGGCTGGTCATTGATAGACACAACGCGTGCCTTAAACCTACAAGTCTTCACTTGGAATCCTCTCAGAATCCCATCACCTTAAAACTGGAGTAAGACCAAAAAAAGAAAAATTAATTTTTGATCTTTAAATTTTTTGTTGGTTTTGCCTTACATTATTAGGTCAAATTTGTGTAGTTTTTCTGCGTTGCTCTCGTTAGCGTGGAAGTACAAAAATTCTAACTTTATCTGTAACCTTAATCGGGGAGACATAATCACAGATGATACATTATTGGTTGTTGAACATTCAATAATTTAATATCTGTGATTATTCCTTACAAAAATAAAATGATCAGTCATTTTGAATTTACCGGTGCAGTTCTAAGGGTGATTGTATCTTGGAAAGTAACTGATTATAGGTAGCAATTACTATAAGTATAAAAATAACTTTTTACAGAACGGAGAAAGACTACAATAACGCTATATCAGTTCGCCTTCAATTTCAGTTTAGGCAACACGAGCTCCAACGTGGTCGAATAGTGGTATCAGGTATCATCGTAAAATGACACGCTCACTCGAGTCACACAGAACTTAGAGCTTTTACCAAACGGAAAGAAGGCTAACCTATCCCAACCTAACCTAACCTAACCTAACCTAACCTAACCTAACTTTCCGTTTCGGGAACAATGCTAAAGACTTCAAGAAAAACTCGGGACGTTCCGACCTAGTTTTCCAGGTTACTATCAATCGGGAAGATAAACAATTAAAAAAAATAAAGCTAAAATCTTACATCATCGAAACCCACGGGAAGTCAAGATGATCAAGTACATCCTGAAACGTCCTGTGTTTTTTTAATGCTTGTTCAGCCTTGTTTCTCACTTAATTTTGCTGTCTTTTTGTTCTTTTTATGTACGTGTCGGGCTACCATTGCGGATCAAAGTGCTGGTTTAATATATATAGCTCTATTCCGTTCAACTTGAGAAAACCGGGGTGAAATATAAAATGCAAAAAGAGTACAATATTCCGGATCTGATTGGATCAACCGTAATAATTGAAATAGCCTTCATACACGCTGGCCTTGTCGATTTCCTTAGACAATTTTGCAGTCGTGAATGCGTAGCTAAAGTGCGCTCCAGCTAGGATTGTATTTAGCAAATGGGTGGTTTTTATACGAGGATTAAAAATAAACAATAGCCTCCATGCACGTTGGGCTTGTCGACTTCCTTCGACTTTTTTGCAGTCGTGAATGCATAGCTGAGGTGCGCTCCAGCTAATATTGTATTCAGCAAGTGGGTGCTTTTTATACGAGGATTAAAAATAAACAAGTGGTACGGAATAAAACATAATAATAGGAATTTTGCAAACGATAATCCGGGAATCGGAACTTGGCTGTTTTGAAAACGCCTTCAAACGCGGCGTGATACCTCACGCATTCCGGAGAGTTTAAAAAGTTGTATCATTGCGCCTGAGAAATGCGACGGAAGATTAAAATGGAAATAGCCTCCATGCACGTTGGGCTTGTCGATTTCTTTCGACTTTTTTGCAGTAGTGAATTTATAGCTGGAGTGCGCTCCAGCTAATATTGTATTTAGCAAATGGGTGCTTTTTATACGAGGATTAAAAATAAACAAGTGGTACGGAATATAACAAAAGAATATGAACTTTGCAAACGATAATCCGGGAATCGGAACTTGGCTGTTTTGAAAACGCCTTCAAACGCGGCGTGATACCTCACGCATTCCGGAGAGTTTAAAAAGTTGTATCATTGCGCCTGAGAAATGCGACGGAAGATTAAAATGGAAATAGCCTCCATGCACGTTGGGCTTGTCGATTTCTTTCGACTTTTTTGCAGTAGTGAATTTATAGCTGAAGTGCGCTCCAGCTAATATTGTATTTAGCAAATGGGTGCTTTTTATACGAGGATTAAAAATAAACAAGTGGTACGGAATATAACAAAAGAATATGAACTTTGCAAACGATAATCCGGGAATCGGAACTTGGCTGTTTTGAAAACGCCTTCAAACGCGGCGTGATACCTCACGCATTCCGGAGAGTTTAAAAAGTTGTAGCATTGCGCCTGAGAAATGCGACGGAAGATTAAAATGGAAATAGCCTCCATGCACGTTTGGCTTGTCGATTTCTTTCGACTTTTTTGCAGTCGTGAATTTATAGCTGAAGTGCGCTCCAGCTAATATTGTATTTAGCAAATGGGTGCTTTTTATACGAGGATTAAAAATAAACAAGTGGCATGGAATAAAACATAATAATAGGTACTTTGCAAAACGATAATCCGGGTATCGGAACTTGGCTGTTTTGAAAACGCCTTCAATTGCGGCGTGATACCTCACGCATTCCGGAGAGTTAAAATAGATGTATCATTGCGCCTTAGAAATGCGACGGAAGATTACAATTGAGGACACCGCACCAAGAACAGCCTATTGGCATATAGGTCGTTATTATACCCATCTGCTTTTCGGATTCTACTTACCCTGGACTATGCTGTGGCAGCTATAGAATATAGATAGGTAACAGCTCGAGGTCGAAAAACTTCTTTTTCCGAGTTAAGTAAGTCAGGCCTCTGGATCGATGGGTGCAAGAACGATCTATAAACGGGCCTATAAACTTAAGGACTTAAGGCGCTAGTTACCCCTTTCTTTACTTACTATCGATATTCTTTCATTTTGCGTTAATCATGCGTGATTAAAAAGATTTATACTTCATATTGCCACCAAAATGACTGTTGGGCGTAATAATGGCGTATAAACCGTTTTTTTAAATTAAATATATTAGACTGTAAACCCAAAATGTTTCGCAAAATCTACCCGGCATTCTTCAATAGAAGGGTTAGGTCACCCAAAAACACCAATACAGGGTACCTGCATAGAAAAGTCTGCGCAATACATCAAAAACAAAACTTTAAATACGTTTTTCTCAAAACGCGGTTTCCAGTTACTTATAGGCTGTTCTTGGTGCGGTGTCCTCAATTGTAGAATGACAACGAATAGACGATGATAAAATGCGCATTAATATAAAGAGCATAAAGAGATACATTTCCAGCATTTCTATCTGATTTAGAGGATCCAGATACACTAGTTGAAGCTATTTAGTACAGGCACCCGTAAAACGAAGATGCTGTAATAAGAGTAGGTTTATCTGAAACCTGTGAAGAACTAAAACATGCATGATTTTGTGGTGATCAATAAAAAGTCACTGCTGCTGAAACTGCGCAAAACACTTCTCGAAAGCACAGGCAGTTTAATCATATTGACCACGAACCACAATAAATGATTTTGGAAATGAGAGTGAGAGAAGGTAGTGAGAATGATGATACTTTGTTCTCCTTTAAATTCTAATAGGAGGGGAAATTTTAGAACACAGCAAATGAGATAAGTGGATTGGGAGTTTCGCTGTTGAATTCCTAGCTCTTTAATGTATACAAATAAGCATCATGGTGAATTGAAGGGGTATTCTGTATATGAGGCTTGCGCATGATGATTCAATTTCGCAAGGTGATTGATGGCTCCATTCAACGTTACTAATTAAAAATATGCCTAATAAATCCGGGTGGTATATTTTTTCAGTATAGTTCAAAATATTCCTATCTGTAAATCGTGTAATCCGGATTTTAATCGTCATTTGTCCTATTCCACGTTCTATGTTGATAGGATGATTCTTACATTGTGTTTTATTTTTTGTTATCTTGCAAAATATTTCATTCTAAAGTAAATTTCTCAGTGTTCTTTTCAAATTTTCAGGAGCTCAACGATGGAAGAATGGAATTTATATACGCACAACAACATAACTAAAACACGTAAAGAAATCGAGAAATCACGACCTTTACGCTCGTATGTCGATACCATACTGCGAAAATCCGTTGACGACTTAAATTTCCAGTTTGACAAGTGCAACCGAGCTTTCCACCAAAGAATTGATGAGTATAAAGAGGCAAAATCAAAATTAGAAAATCAACATTTTGAGGTTGGTGCTTACGCTAACTTCGCATTTCTTTTAGAAGTAATGTCTTATTTATGGTCTATGGGTACTTTGTTTAATTTATTATAATTTAAAGAGGCAATGGAAGAAAAAACTTACACGATCTGATTTTTAAAAAACATAATCTTCCAAAACTATGATTAAATTGATTGATGCATGATAAAAAAAATTAATACTTCGTGAATCTTGGAGAGAATTTGCTTTTTCTGGCGACGATATCAATTAAATTCTCTTCACCATGAGCGAAGAAAAAACATTAAAACTGTGGTCTGAATAATTTAACTAATAGGATGGTAGAATAGTGTTGAGCTTACACTGTTCTGCGGGGAAATAAAAACTAGATAAAGAACCAACGATTAGAATTAGCCTCACAAAATGTACTGTGATTCTAATTTTTGTTTTTCTTGCTTGGATTTCATCGAAAATTAGTGTGGGCTCTGCACTCTCCTACGATTCTGGTCTATTATTTTTCTATAGTTCCTTAATTCAGTATTTCAATTTTTACGATTTCACATTATTGCTGGTAAAGTGGGCGGAAATCTCTAAAAAGTGGAGTAAATGCATTTTTATGTGCGTTATTTGCAGACTTTGCGGCAAGCTAACGAAATGATTCGTAATATAGATCGTCTTGAGAAGGCAATCAGCGACAAAGAGGCTTACATGGCATTGGCTCGAACTCGCTTCAACAATCGAGTTCATCGTCCTGGGATCGAATTATGCAGGTTCGTCATCAGGGTCGGGGGCACGCTGAGACTTTTCGCTGCACGCGCAACAATTTACTATCCTAACTTCTTCCTTTTCTTTTTCCCCTGAGAAATGATAATGTTTCTTAGATTTTCGTTAAAATCATGATTAAAGGCCTGAACCCAGTGCTAGATTAATGAATTTTCCCATTAGTTCGAGATTAATGTAGGCGTGTATGAAGGAAGAGGGCAGATCATGAGGACACCCTAAACCTAAAAGAGGAACCAGAGGTGGATTCCCAAATTTTTTCGAGAATTTTTAGTCATAGTCTGTCATATTACAATTTATAGTATACCCAGTGCTCTCCCATTCAGTATATCATCAGTGGATTTCGCCTGAAGTGAATCAAACATTTACTCACATTTCAAGGCAAAATACAGTTTAGTTTTTTTCCGGCAAAAAAATAAAGGAAATAATAATTAGGGAACACCTGATGAGGTCAAGACAATTCTGATTAGTATACCGTCCATACGTGCCGTCTTTTAATATTGAATAATGAATGATGTCAATATTTTTTAATGCTGTTAGAATTTTCTATACAAATTTGCTACGAGGAGCTAGTAATATTAGTAGAGGCATTGCTTATGGGCACTAAGACATCAGAATCCTGTATTTTTCGACTAGAGAATTTGTCTCTTATCATGCAAATGATTACAGTTTGGTATTGCGTTTTTGACTAGACTCCAACTAATAGATTTTATCAACTTCCAGAGACGATGTTGAAATTCAGCTAATAACCGAGATTAAAGAAATTGAAAGTTCCGTCGCAAACTTACACTCTGTATTAAACGAGGTTAGTGAATACTTATTACACCTATCCTAACTTTCGTGAGTAAGCATTTCGTATATAACACTGTTTGGAGGCAAGTTCACTTTCCTCAGAATTTCCAACTATAGTTAAGCCTCACTTATCCGCGATGATTGGGACCAGTCCCAAAAAAAGACAAAAACGAAAAATAACCGCCTTTCCTACAGATGAGGGGCTTGGAGGATAGGGTGCATAAAGTGCAGTTTTTGCAATATCGAGAAATACGTGTTTGAAGTTTCGAATTTCCAAGGGTCCTCGTGGCGGAGAGAAAGTTCAAACTGACCTTCACATGCTTAAAAATTGGAATTTGGGAGCGAATGTTTCACAGGATAGGTATGCATTAAGACTAGTTTTACTTGAAACCATTAGTACCTCAATTTTTTCAAAAACTGCATTGTGCGCCTTGTCCTCTAAGCCTCTCAAATGTAATTTTTCCGAAGGAAAAGAATGAGGAGAAATTTATGAAACAAAAGAGGAAAAAGAAGAGAAAAACAAAATGAAAGTGTATCGAAGGAAGAGGACGCCTGCGCTATGCGACGTTTAAAAATTTACGCCGCCATTTTATTTTTTTACAGAGAAGTTGTTCGTTGAATCTGTTTGAAAATTTCACAGAATTTTATCGGCAGCACAAAGAAAAGTCAGTGAAATTTTCGGCCAGCTTCGTTGAACAATTTCTCCGTAAAAAATAAAATGACGGCGGAAATTTTAAACGCCGCATCGCGCTTGTGATACTTCGGCCGGAAGACGAAGAACTGTTTGAGAGGGGGGTTGAGGTAGAGAATGAGAGTCAAGAGTCTAAAAGTGCGTATTTCCTATTGCGACGTTTCAAATCTCTGCTCGTGTTTTATTAACAAAGCTACTATTTGCTTGGAGACTTTATGAGAGTATTCTCACCAATTCAAAAGAATTCCCATATAATTTGCAGCACCCTGGTAAAAATTGGCGATAAGAGCTGCGTTTCAAAATACCATAGGAATTCTTATAGCCGGCTAAAGAAGGCTACAGAAAATCATATAGCTGGCTGTAGAATGCGGAGAAAATCATGCGGCCGGCTATACGAAGCGATAAAAAATTATGCAGCCGGGCTATAGTTCCTATCGCCGGGTTTTAAAATTTATCGCCTGGCTGTTGCTTTTTCGCCATCGATAATAAAAGGCTATAAGAAATTGTGTAGAAATCCGTGTGCTTTGGTGTAGCCGGCTATAGAAGCTATTGGAAATCTTACAGCCGGCCGTAGGTCTATGGTATTTTGGAACACAGATTCTACTGCCAATTTTTACCAGGGCAGCTATTTAGCATTTTTTTCCTGTTTTTTTTTTTACCTAAGTAACGATTGGAGATTTAGAAAGATTGCAATGGTAATACTCATTTTTTGACCTTAGCCTCTGCTACACCCTGTAGATAAATTATAAAGTTTGGAGAGAATGTGACAGATTGTGTTGATTAAAAGCGGCATAGCACTTGTAAAAGCGATTTATGTACACATGAATCATGAATGAGACCTCCTCCTCCCTCGATTATTTAGGTACTCACATTTTTGCCGATGATATGATACTTCACAGCAAGTTTCTTACTTTTTAAGTTTTTAAATATAAGTTGAAAAAATATTACTCTATCTCATGTGCAATAATCATGCAGAATCGCATCTAACATCAAGGTACCTATGTATTTTCTCAGGCTCAAAAATCCCTTCAACACTTGCAAAAAGCGCAAATTCAGCTGGAGGGAGAAATCAACGTCAAGACTAATTCTCTCAAGATCGATGAAGTTGACTGCATGTCTACTCGTGCAGCGATGAACTATCACTTTTATTAAGCACGCTCAAAGTCATGATATTATTTATATTGGCGAGTGGTGACCTCTTTGTATACATTCAAGCGATAAAAAATGAAATTCAGTCATTGTAAAAATCTTTTAATTTTGTATCTTAATAATATATCAATATTTGACGGTTTACGGTTTTGATTTATTTTTCAAATCATATTTGAATAGGTTGATCACCCGCAACAGGCTTTTTTTCGTTAGGTAATTTTACATCGCACAAAGGAAGCAAGAACCGGGAAGGGCGGGTGGGCTGGGTCATGATCTCTTTGATGCATTGCCCGACCAAATTTCAAATTAATTCGATCATAATTAAAAATCTTGAGACGGGGGAGATCAGACGGTGTAATCTGCCCGATGATTTGTGGGAGGATCGATTCCGATGGCGATTTGGAGTCGCAGAGCGCTCTAATGTGCTGAGGTAGCGGCTTGATATGTGCATTTAAGTACCTATTAAAAATCTTGACTCATTGCAACTCATCATTCTCTTCATATAAAATCGTAAGAGTACCTACAACGCACAACGCACAGCGCCTGAGGCGCGAAGCGCTTTGGGGGGTTGGACCGTGAAGCAATCGGGGGCGTCCCCTGGTTGGTTTTCGACCTCTCTTCCAAGGCGGCTTAGAGTTCCTGAAATTTCTCAAAATCAAATGAATGGGACATTATGAAAGAGATTTTAAAGGAATCGGTTCATCCTTGAAAGCCCACGGGATATATACGGAGAGGAGGGGGAGGGGGGTTCTTTCTTGGAGCAACAAAAAAAAACTATCTCCCCCCCAATTTCGAAGTTAAGGAGTAGCTCCTCGGAAAACCCTCCACCACCGGGCACCGTCAACTCTGGAGGGACATCAGAATCGTGAAATTCAGATACTTTGGGGTCGATTCCCTGAAAAATATCATCCTCCGCCTTGTCCCTTCATTCTGAATCACCCTGTATAAAACAGGTAGCCAAACGGTTAGCAAATGGAAGAAAATATATGATATAAAACATAATTTTAAGAAAAATGAATTTTGATCATTTTTTACATTTTTTCTAGTTATTAAGAAAATTAGAAGTAAATCGTAATTTACCGTTCATTATCGGAAGTTGCATACTCTTACTGTTAGTGATTCTTACGATTGTGGCATTACTGTAGAGAGCAGTGCAAATTCAACTCGCTAAGTTGGTATCCGTCTTCGTGTTCAGTGAGCAACATGGCCGTCTGTTGTTATTTATCATTGACGTATAATACAATCTAGACCGCGCATTACGAAATTCAAGCGAGACGATAGGCAACCCAGCAACACACAGCAAGTGTACCGGGGAGACAATGGTGGAATTCGTGGAAATGCCAGTCTTGCCAGTGCCGTTGCCTGATACGGGTACACTTAGCTCGTATATCCGGCGGTATCAACTAGGCTGAAGGCGCGTCTTTACCCCCCTAGCTGTCTTACCTTCCCCGCCTAAAGTCGGGCCCAATGCGCGGTCTAGATTGTATTATACGTCAATGTTATTTATGCCTTTTCGTGTGTGTGTCTATTATTATCGTTATAATGTAAAGTTTTCTTGTTATTTTCGTGAAAACGTATGTGATTTATTTATGATAGTAATTGTTTTGTGATATGGCTTTAGTTACGGTGCAAAGATCTCCCAGCATTGAGAACTCTCCACCTAATTCCGTAAGTAAACTCCCTCGCATTCCTTGATATTTTGATGCATCTGCTTGAATGCCATTGTTTGTGTGGTGAATCACTTTGTTGGGAAAATCCTTAGACGATAAAAATTGGACGCTTATCATTAGTTTAAGGTAATGGACAATAGCACGACGAATTTCTGTCTGTTCATTTTCGTTGAATGTATGCAGGACTTTGTGTCACAGCTCGCAGTGTGCTGTTATTTGTGGTGATTCTTAACACTGTTTAAGTAGATCATCAAAATATTAAAGTCTCCTAGTTTGTATTCAATTTTATCATTTGTCTTTGAAATTTTTAGTATTTCCTCCGAATTGCAAGGAAATGAGCCTCACTTGTCCTCACCTCATGTTCACCGATATTTGATTTCAACCTAGTTTCTGGGTCTAACGGCAGATATCCAAACGCACTTAATGGTATTTCCAAGCACAGAATGTTATCATCAGAATGTTCTGAGGTGACAGAGATTGTGTTTTGATTTTAGCCTGTGCTAGGACAGGGTTGTTTTATGTTATTCTGTAGAAAAGGGAAATTCTTCAAAATTGAAGCTGAATACCTACTACGGTCCATTCAAGTGATGCTGACTTGGAGCTACATTAAGTGTAGCTATCCTCTGATCTTCTGATTATTTTACACTAGACTTATCAAATTACCCTCGGTCAACAAATCTTAGAAGTTTGTAGGAAAATCAGTGCACACTAGTCTGCTGAATTTTTATTGTTTAACTTTTCCGTCATCCTTTTCTGTTTCCTCTTGATGATTAAATTCTCTTGAGGTTAGTCGAAAACCAAGCATTGTCATTGAATCCAACTCACTAATGTACAATCTTAAAGCTAGTTGGCTAACTGGGGTAATGTAGCTACTCCTCCAATGGAAATAGTTCTTAGTGTTGCATTGTCATCTCCAAAACCTGGATGTTAACTCCTCTGGAGGTGTGAATCTTTCGCATTTAATTCTGACATCTTAGGAAGGAATAATTAACGTTAATGATGGATTTGTCCCTAGATGGGGCCTGAATATTTTTTTGTAATTCCATACATCTTGGATCCAGTTGGACTCTATTTTTAATTTTCATGCTTTGTGTGGCCCAGGTGAAACCTAGCTTGTTCGAGTCTAGGTTTTTTATTCTTTAAGAACAGAATATCCACAAATCATTCTCAACCTTTTTGGCTCATAATTTCTTTTTGTCAAATAAATTAGTAGGTTTGCATCTTAATACATAGCTCGTCCAAGAATTCTATTTAATAGCCAATCTCCAATTCAATTTTTAATGAGCAACGTCCGCTTGTGTAGGTACCATATAATAGATGTCCTTTCTTGGGAACGTTTTTAACATCAAGCCTGGTAAATTTGGGGTGCTTTAAAAAACTCAGTTCATTTTATCATCAGGAGCATTGTTAAAGTAAACTGTTTTGCTACGAAATCACCCTATGTTAAATGTCAGCATCGTATGACTCCATTTAAAATACTCGATGACTTACATAGTTGTTTATGAATACTCAACTTTTTTACGTAGTGGCCTCCTTCTCAGAGGCTTGTGACAGGACTGTTAGGGCGCATCTTGTAAGTTGAGGAACTAATTGGTTTTTGGTACGTTTACTCTGACTTTGCACATTATTTAATTTTTTTTGGCTCAACCACTAGTTTTTTGGTGAGCAAGAAAAATTTGCACTTAGTCCCTTTAAAAAAGTACGTTACCTACTTATCTTTGCATCTGCATCTCATTATGTGTTTCTAAGGCAGCAATAATCAACTATTTACTTTTACATGCCTCCTCTCTTAATCAGGAAGATATTAGAGCTGTCTCATCCATTTTGTTGGTCTACCATATTGCTATCATAAAACTTCTAAGACGGTTTCTCAGTAAGTGTAAATATAATTCTGGACCCTGGACCACTAATGATAATTTCTCGTGTAAAATTCAACAGTCTTTTTGGCAGAAAGGGTAAAAAATTACCAGTTTGCCCATTAAAAGAAATTTTCACCAGTAATTTCGGATGGTGGACCAAAAATTAAATTTCTCTGAAATGTGTTCGAATTTTTCGTGCTGAAAATAATACATTCTTGCTGTACATCAATTTTTGTAACTCACATTTCTCACATTAGACCATCCTGTAAGGTTAAAAATCAGATATTGCAATTTATATATTCCCACTAAAATCTCACATAAACTCAGTTGATTCATTACTGTGTCTTTGATTTGTTTTTCTAGTAAGAATCATTGCTCTTCTAATCTTCTTTTGAGTTAGGTATCCAAAAATTGTATTCTAAGTCATGAAAATGATACAAAATGAAAACTAGGTTGAAAAAGTCTGTGTGCTTGAAGAAGTTCCAATTACAGTTAACTTCGGTTTTGGTGAATTTAAAAGGTAAAAGTCCTTCTATCAATTTAATTTTTTCAAAGCCTGCCGTCTTTAAAGGAAACCAGTACCTCCCTAATCTCCAGAAGATATTACAGAAAATTAATTTTGTCTGTTTCATGTGCATATCGTGTCCTCAAATTTTTATTGAAGCACTGAAACTGTTAAAAATTACTCTTAAATATTCGTTAAATACTTATTCATAAGAGTTTTCTTTTGATATTGTTATTTTTATTCATCAATATTAGTAGAGGCGTAACCCCCAACACCCCCCCCCCCTAAAAAAATATGTTAAGATTTTGAGTCGGTAAAATGTTAAGCAATAGTAAACATTGAATTAAGAAAAAAAGAGATAAAGTGAGCGAGACTGAGCAATGAATAGGCATTAAATGTTAAATTATTATAAATGATAAAATTTCGTAATATTTTATAATAATGATAATATAATCTGGGCACAATACAATATAATAATACAGCAGGTTGGAAAGACTTAATCAAGTCAGGTTAATGTTATTTAAAATAATTTGTTTAAATTGATCCCCAATCGTCGTCTATTTGTCTTGCTATCAGAAGCTCGTATATTTTTCTCCGAATGGTAAGGGTCAAAATTCTCGCAGTTCCTTACAAGAAACTAGACGTATTTGCTTGGATCAGAAAAGCGTATTTTAAGCATGGCTTGTAGGCACAATGGTTTCAGTCTCGTTTTTCTGAATGAGCGACTTTGGATTTCTCAAAAAGAAGAATTGGAAAAGGGGACAAAACTATCAAAGTACGGAAACGTTGTCGGTAGTAATTACGGGGCTGACATCTGCGATGCCATTGTGGGAATGTTGTTGGTGAATTATTTGCACTATTTTGCATCGCTGCCGGGATGCAAAACGGCGCATTCGAACTCCAAAAATTTCATGGTAAACACTATTGTAAAAGCAACGTAGAAAATCCTTGAGAACTATCTTAGCCACACATTGTACCTAAGAAAACTAGAGCGCCCGCAACTTTTTGTGTATGTAACACGGACGTCCCGAGAACACGAATAGTTGCATCCAGCCGTAGCCATTGAAAAAGTCCGAGCGCCTCCAATTTTCTGTGTATGCAACACGGACATCCCGAGAACACGAATAGTTGCATCCAGACCTAGCCATTGAGAAAGACTGAGCGCCTTCAATTGTGTCCGTTTGTGATAACAAAATGTGTCGCTCATTGCATGCATACGTCATCGTTGTAGTGCAGTTGGTGTATTTAATCAAATTCAAATAAAGAAATAGTAAATTAGAGATAAATATATAAATGAACTGGTTTGCGTTCATGCAGTAATTACTGGCCTGACTTAATCGGCGATTACGCTTTTAGTCTTCTTCTGAATCTTCTTCTCATTTTATTTACTTGGAAATATGTAAAAATGGTATCCTATCAATTATTCACTATCTTCCACTCGTGGCAGCATTGCCAAATAGTGCAATTTGGGTGACAGTTGTCGGCAGAAACGAACGGAATCACGACCTATCGTGATCATCGCTGTTTCCAGGGTGACAAGTTTTTTAGATTTTAAAATTCCCTGGATTTGTAGATACTTTAAAGAAAACCCCCGACTTCTCCCAGGCTCTTCAGTGTTTTTTGGCATGGTTTTGGATGAAAATTATAATCCAAAAAAATTCAGAGCGCAAGTGCAAATCGCGATAATTTTGTCGGTCGCGAATGCGGTATTGACATCCGCAATGCCTTCGTTGAAATGTTCTTGGCAGATGATCTTCGGAAATTTTCACCATCTGACAACGCGGCCTGGTGCTTCACGGCTCATCGAAAATTTAAGGATTTAATAGTAAACACGGTTGTAAATGTTTTGTGGACAACCCTCGGAACCAACATCGCAGCCGCATGTTGTCCCGAAAGTCAAAGCGCCTGCAATTTTTTGTGTAGTATGCAACACAGATAGGTATCCAGAGAACACGTATGGTTGCATCCTGGCCTAGCCACTATTAAAGCCAAAGCGCCTTCAATTTTTCCCGCTTTTGAAAACAGGACGCGTCTCTCTTCGCATTCTTATGTTGTCGATGCACGAAAAAAGGAAGGTTGGAAGCATTCAATGAAATTTAAAATGAACAAAAAAAATGCGTAACTAAAATCTATTCTTTACTTGCAACCGGTGATAGTGTAATCTCTCTGCAAGCGTGTGCAACGTCAATTCAGCCGAAAAATGAGAGCCAACCAGAATTTGATTCCACATGGCGCTACACTGGGTATAAAGGGGCTACGGTAGTGATAAAAGAATATAGCGTATGAATTTTCGGACGTTACCATATTTTTCTCATAAATTAATCATTTTTTTGTTAACTTGCGTATGTGCAGTTTTATTTTCTCTCTTGCTTTCTTTCGGCATTTTTCAGGGGATACTTACGCAATTGACAGGGACTTTAGTAGTGATAAGAGAAAATGCCGAATGAATTACCGGACGTTTCCAAATTCTTCTGATAACGACGCATTTTTTTTTTTTTTTTTTTTTTTTTTTTTTTTTTTTTTTTTTTTTTTTTTTTTTTTGTTAACGCGCGTACGCATTATTTCTTCTTGTTTATGCATTTTTCAGAGGGTAATTTACGCAATTTACAGGGACTCTAGCGGTGATAAGAGAAAACGCCGTATGAACTATCGGACGTTTCCAAATTTTTGTAATAAATTACGAATTTTCTTGCGTTAACTCGCGTATGCATTATTTATTCTTTTTTATGCATTTTTCAGGGGATAGTTTTCGAGTTTACTTACAGGGACTCTAGTAATAACAAGAGAAAACACCGTATGAATTATCGGACGTCTCCAAATTATTAAAATAAATTTTTTTTTAACGCGCCTATATAGGCATTATTTTTTCTTCTATAAGCATTTTACATACATTTAGCCGCTTTCATAGCGCAGCCTCGCGCTCTGCGACGCCCAATCGCCATTGCCCCCTATCCTCCCAGAGACCATCAGGGAATGGAGATGTTGCATGTGTGAGGGATTTGCGATTTGACCATTGATTCTTATGTAAAAGTTTGCGAGAAACACGATGGTGCCACTGGTTTTCTCTGAAATCAACTCCCAAGCTCACAAAAAGCTCTCGAAATGAGGCCAAAATAGAGGGGATATCCCACCCTACCCTGAGAGTCCACCTCTACATCAAAACAAACTCTCCATGCAAAGATAGGGAGCAAATACATTGGCAGGGTTGCCACTTTATTTGGGGACTCCAAAACTGAAAACACGGCATCACTGCTATTGTATTTGCTCCTTATCTTTGCATGGAGAGTTTGTTTTGAGTAGAGGTGGACTCTCAAGGAAGGGTGGGATATCCCCTCCATTTTGGCCTCACTTTGAGAGCTTTTTTTGAGCTTGGGAGATGATTTCAGAGAAAACCAGTGGCACCATCGTGTTTCTCGCGAACTTTTACATAAGAATCAATGGTCAAATCGTAAATCCCTCACACATGCAACATCTCCATTCTCCATTGCTTTATGCATTTTTCAGGGGATAATTTTTGCACTTTAATGCAGCGCTTCCAAAAATTCGAAAGAAAAACGCCCATTACTTTTCTGCAAATCAACGTTTAACTTGAGGAAATTCGACAACGTTCGGATGGGCGCACGGCGTTTTTTCGGGCCCGCGGCCCGCGGGGCGTTGCGACGCGCGTCCGGAGAGCGCGCCACGCGATTCGCGATGAACTTGGACGACGCGACGCGCCGCGCTCGCTCCGAACGTCAGGACGTCAGTCTGTGATCGCGAGCGAGCCGGTTCGGACCTCTCCACGTCTCGCGTCCGGCTCCTCCGCCCCGAACGCTACGTTTCGTCCACCCCCTCCCCCTCCCCACCGGTTAGATCGCCCCTCGATCAAACTCCGATTTTCGAACATTACACCTCGACCAAATTGGATTAACGTCGCCTTTTGCGTGTCAAGTGATGCTGGAACCTTCAATTCATGTGCGGAATTTTTATTTAAATTGATATAAATACAAACAAAATTGTGTCAAATTCGCTGAAATATCAGTGGAAATTAGGAGTTTTCCTTCCCGTTTGTTTTTAATGAAATAAACCGCTGAGTAAATACAGAGAAAAAGAAATCGTCCTGAAAAACGCGTCAAACTCTCGGGGATAAATGAGGATTCTCAGTGCCGATTGAGATAGTTTCAAGTGTTTTTACATTTTTTTTATTTTATTCATTTACTTAAAATTGTGCGGCCAGACGCGTCAAACGGAACGCGGTAGACAGTTTTGTGAAGGGGCTCAGTTCCGGAGGAAAAAGGCGTGAAACTAAAAGCGGAATATCAGTGGCAGATACGAGGGTTGTTTTCACGCTCAGATTGGATGCGCTTCTGCGGTGTTTACATTAGTCTCTCGGTGGGCTGTGGTTAGTTCGTATCCGACTCGGCGTGTTGCCAGTGTGGGTCATGTTGTACATATTGCCGCCTCCGAGCTCTCCGGCGCCGCCTTCGCCGTGGACGACGATCCTTTGCAACGGGGGCAGCAACGGCGCGGCGGAAAATTCGGGGGAGAGCAACCGCGGGTCGAACACCTCCCTGGCCGCCCTCTCGTCCTCCTCCTCCACCTCCTCCCTCTCCTCGAGCACCTCCAGCTCCTCCCTCCCGAGGTGCACCACCCGCGGCAACGCCTGCAAAGTGTGGCTCAACGCCATCCAGACCAAAAACCAGCCCGCCAAAAGGAGCTCCCACAAAGTCAAACTCCGACCCAAAAGACGCGTAAGTTGTTCCGTCTCATTTTATCACGTAGGATCGTGCTCATACTGCTGTGATAGCGAGGAGAGCCGTACTGCCGTGCGAGGGAACAACGCCGTATGTGCCTTTAGACGTTGCCGGATTTACGTCAATTAAAACCGGATATCCCTGGAAAATTAAGAATATTTTCAGGGTCGCCACAGTCAAGGAACATCGGGAAAACCGGGAAATGTCAGGGAATTTTAAAGAGTCCTGAAAAACCTGGAAATGTCAGAAAAAATGACAAAAATGTCAGGAAAAAAATCTTCAAATCACCGCTTCATTTGCTTCTCTTCATTTCACTTTCTCGAGTGGGTTTGACGTTTCGAACAACAAATTTTGCCCGCAAACTATTTCTAACTATGTCTTTTTGAAAATTTGGCATTTGTTCAATTGTCAGATAATTTCACCAAAATTTTAGGGAATTTAATTTTCCAAATTCTGGCGCAAACCCAGTATTTTCCTTCAAATTTTTCAGATGATTTTGTTCGCAATTTGATCTATAATACTCGAAAATTTCAAGGAGAAATATGAATAACTTTCCTCACAAATACATGTTTTGTCTAGAGAAATGTGGCAACTCTCGGATGTCCATACGGCGATTTTCCTTAGCACAGCAGTGTAACTCTCATTTTCGAAATCGGGTTTCCTTCAAAATTCGTCAGATCTCTTTCAGGTGAAACCAGTGAAATAGCTAAAATAGCAAAATTCGTCTTATATATTATATACTGTAAAAACGATACGTATCAGAAAGCCGTAGGTTCGCAAAAATCAAAGTAGCTTTAGAGAAAACAGCCGCACGGAGCATTATTGCTCAAGAGAGCCAATGAAAGCATTGCTTTTAAGTTGATTTTCGCCCTTTTCTGCTAATTTCTAATTGAAAAATGTGTTTTTTGTGTGTCCAAAACGCAACCACGAAAGCATGCAGAAGATAACTCTTACGCCTCTCTTGCCCTAACACTAGCGTAACATGAAAATAGATAGTAGTACTTTTTTTATACTATTGAAATAAAATTGGTCAATTTTTAATAATGCAAAAAATTTCTAACAGTCTTTCGGGTAATAGGTGGAAATTTGACATAGGACGGTAGCTTCCAACAATAAAAGTTTCCGCTCCGACGCTATTGAGCGTATTTTCTCTAAACATAATTTTTGTACTCACTTACGGCTCTCTTCGCTATCATGGCAGCATAGTCGTTCCTTAAATAGGTCCGTAGGCGGCCTCATATGGTTTACATTGTGACTGTGTAGGTTTAAGGAGTTCCACAACGTAGCACTGCAAAACCAATTATTTAACTCTTTAGTCATTAGTCATCACGAGGTGAGTGTCTGAGGGTTGACTTTCGATAGTCAAAGGGGAGGATAAGATAAGAGTGTGGGGCATCTAAAGTTATATGAATATCGTCTTTGGTCCCGAAGATGCATACATTGCTTTATTCTCATTGATAGCATTGACAGAGATTACGTCATTGTCTTCTTTTGATTCCAACTCGATATAACGGAGAATCTTTAATGTGACTTCACGCGTAGCAGCATCTACGTTCGGACACGTTCGGTCGGTGAAGCTATAAAGAAAGAGGAAGGCTCCCTCCCAAACTTGTTGGATGGGAGCGCACAGTGGATCGAGTCAATAGGAGAGGTCGGACAAAGTTTGGAAACTTTCAGAGCCTATGACTCCGTTTACTCACAATTTTGAGGTTCTAAAAGTGGTTCCATTGGTTTCCTCGTAAAATTTTCTCCCTTAAGCACCTCTTGAAATTTTAAATGTGACGAAATAAAATTCAAAATTTGCAGTTTTTGTCAAAAATTTTATGTCCGACCTCTCTGACGGACTCGACCCACTGTGCGCCGCTCAGTATAGCGAGTCACTGGGAAAGGGCGGACATGATGAGGTAAATCTGGACTGCATTCTGCGATTTGGAACTGCAATTTCTGGCTCATCTGTAAAAAAAAGTATGTGCAACTGACGGTACACACGCAGGGTGTCCACAAGTCCGGAATTTCTGTAAAGTTCGGAAATAGTACTGATTTTTGTAAGGGCGGTCTGGAAGTACTGAAAAAGAGCGAAAATTCCGTTCGAAGGTCCGAAATTTTCCATTTTTGTCGCAATTTGAGAAATTCAAATTTTGACATTTTTCGAATTTCGTCAGATGGAGGTACTGAAAAAGTACTGAATTTTTCCGTTGAGGAGGTAATGAATTTCTCGGGAATGTACTGAAAAAGTACTGATTTTTGGCGAGCCTGTTTCAGTAGACACCCTGATACGTTGTTCTATACGTATTTTCTAAATTCTGTGGCAACCCTATAAAATTTAATATGTAACGAATTGATTTGAAAAACTACGGTTTTAGTAAAAAATGTCATTTTCGACCTCTATCAAAGGCTCGTTCTCCTTAGAGTCCCTTTATACTGAGAGTCAAGACAATGTAAATCCATTTCTGATTGGTTCCCATATTTTAGGCCTTCACAGTGTCAAAAACGGGAATAAAGATTACATTTTCACCGATTGCAAAGATTATAATCTAGAATGGATCAGGGAATTACGGGTTCGGCAAGGAACAAACGGAATGAGAGATGGAACGAAGAGAGGAAGTTGAGAATGGGCCGATCAAAGATTACAAAAAACGTTCAATTTTTGTAATCTTTATTCCCGTTTGTGACTCCATGAGGGGGTCTTGACCCTCAGTATAAAGGGACTCAAGTTCTCCTGTGCGCCGCTTGGGCATTGCGGCAATAGCGGAGTTTCGCGACCCGACGCGCGATGACGGCTACGTCGCGCTTGGCGATGGCGTGGCGTCGTCGTCGTCGGCGACATGCGGTTTCGTTGTCACACTCTTCTGCCTCTCTCGGCGAGTCTTCTTCACTTTCCGGCCACTGCCCTGTTTCCCGACACCGGCTCCTAACTGTTGATTCGAGTCGCCTTCTCGAAGCCAGAAGCATCCAGGCAGGATCAAACGGTGGGCTACAAGACGCTTTTGGACGCAAGTGAAAGGCCTTGTCTCCACAGCCGGCTGATTGGTGAAATTGATAGATACAGCCATAGATATAGAAGAAATAGGGAGTATGGAGCTATAGGGTGTCTGCAAGTCCGGAATTTTTGGAAACTCCGGAAATAGTACTGATTTTTTAAGGGCGGCCCGGAAGCACTGGAAAGTGTGTAAATTCCGGAATTTTATTAAATTTTTTGTCATCTTTGTCGCAATTTCAAATTTTTGAAATTTTTCTAATTTCGTCAAATGGAGGTACTGAAAAAGTACGGGATTTTTCTGTTGGAGGGGGTACTGAATTTCTCGAGAATGCACTGAAAAAGTACTGCACAAGTACTTATTTTTGACCAGCCTGTTTTACGAGACACCCTGATCATATGAGAAATGACTGTTGGAATGCAGTTCTAATAGCCTGCAAGTCCTTGAAAGGCAATGTAAAAAAGGTAAAGGATGCTCCGATTGAGATTCAGCGTTCCCTCAAGATTGTCCCATCGAGCCATTGTCCGTTTCATGGGAAACGCAACGCTGCCAACGGCCCTGAGAATGAACAAAGGACAGCCTTGTGGCTCGTGGAAGGGTTGCGCGAGCAGACCGGGGGCGAGCTGCGAGCGAAACGAATAAATATGATGAAAATAGCCCAACGAAAACGTGTCTAAACTCGGAGCTTTTAGAGCGATTAAAAACGCAAGGAAATTGTGACATTAGATAAGCGTACAGCAACTTTCCAACGATTTGGTTATAAATAGGCGGAAAGAAGAGAGCCGGGGTGGAGGGGGGATGTGAAACAAACGTAGGCGTGAAGCCAAAACCTAATTTGTAGAAACTACGGCTTTTTCACAATTTCGGCAATGTTTTAACACTTACCATGACTTTGGGACGGGGACGCGGGCAAGTTGGCCCGCGGCCACGCGAGCCGCCAGATAGTGCGGTAAAATCTTGATATTTTACATTGCTTCAAATGGAGGAAAGCGCTGGTTTTTTCAGGACTATCCGGCATCGATGTGTTGACTTCAGCTGGCAAGCTGGCAAACATGACGACCACAAATTTAGCGAAAAGCCTTTCCAATGCTCGGCTGTTTTCCATTTTCAATGCATTCTTCGAACCGTTCCAATGACGGCTACGACAATGCTGACGTAAACGCGACCGACCGGTCAACGGGACACAAAGCATACCTCGCCTCTTTCGTCTCTCTTTTGACTTTCTACGTAAATCAAACGAAAAATAATATAATGATGATGAAGACGAGGAGGGACTGAAGAACGGACCACTAGACAAGATGCGAATTTTAGCATAACTATTTTTCTCGCCAATATTTCACTAAGAACACAATTTGTGCAACGCAAATGACGGAAACAGGGTGTGTGCTGTCAGTAAGAACCGGAAAATTTGAGGAAATTCAATGTCGTCTGGAAAAATCAGGAAAATCGGTTGTAGATCAGGAAACTCCAATTGCGTCCAAGATTTGAAGAATGAGATTTTTCAAAAGATAATTACATGCAGCTTAGCACTTGCGAAAGTGAAATATTTGATTCAATTCACTAAATATGACGGTTCGTAAATCAAAATGAGTGTCCATTTATTCGCACAAAAAAATCTGGAGGTATAATAAAAATATCATGAAAAATTAGGATAATCCAAAATGAAATTTTAGTAAACACCCTGTGAAAGTAACTCTCAAAATTCTCATTTTTGTACCGCAAATCGTGTTCTACTCGAAATTTTGAAGGGGAAATATATATCAGAATGCCTAAATTCATACTTTGACTAGTGGTCCATTCCAACCGTTTAACGATTAATGGTTCAATTACAGCCGACTAAGTAATTCAATTTTTTTTCGTGTTGGGTTGGGGTTGCTTTATTGTAGATTTTATCAGTCATTAGATTATTTTAGTCATATTTTTCCCCGTGGGCGCGGTGAAAGTTTCTTGATTGCTCATCGAGCAAAATCCGCTCCGTTTCGGAGGAACGGTGATGGCAGGGCTGGAAGATTTTTTTCT